TCAGGCTGAAGGAAAAAAAGTATTAATCTCCCCTCAGTAAGTCATAAAATAAAGAAATCAATTTCAAGGTCAATTTAGTCTAAATAACACCTGCTGCCCTTTTTGTAACATGCAGACTCCTCTGAAACACTAAGTTACTGTCTATAAAGGCATCAATATGTGATGTTCCACATAAATCAATGTAACACATACACAGGATAGACTATTTTAACCGTACATCTGAGGCTTAAGAGAGATTCAGAACAGATCACTTGTCATCACAGAACTTGAACACGAGCACGAAGCTCTTCTGTGAATAAGAGCCTGAATTTGCAAGAAGCTCTTTAAGATTGCTGACACTTAGTGATTGACATGCAAGAAGGGTTCAGATCCACAAAGGATGGGCCTCAACATACTTACTTTTTTGAAGAATAAAAAAAAAGAAGAATCAACAAAAATGTTTTCTACTGGAAAGCTTAAGATTACTTCCAAAATTAACAACTCCAGAAAGGAACACATTTGACAGTTTCTCTCCTCCTTGCAAAAAGGGAAACCTATTAATTGAAGAAAAAGAGTTGGTCTTCTTCAGAAAGAGCTCAATTTCTCTTCTAACTACTCTTAATAGGTTGCCATGGTAGCATAAGACTGCATTTGATGATTCCACATATTCTGCATGTTCACAAAACCTATCCAGAAAGATTTCCCTTGAACTCTTCAACACTGTGCATATTAACAGAAAAGTTAAAATGAAAAAAAAGAAATTTATGAACTAGTTAATATATTTCTCCCAGATTGGTAATTCTTTCACACAATCTTAAGACAACGAATTCTCCTACTCCAATAACAATTCAAAGCAGAGTTGATACTTGTTTAAATAAAATCACATGGATGGAATAATTCCAAGGTGCCAGGGAATCAACAACAGCTACCAGAAACAGAAAAAGATGATGTCATATTAGGAGCTGCCAACATATTGACAGACACCATTTACTGCACAGGAAAAAAACGGATGAGGTTTAACAAAAGCAAGTGTAGAGTCTTGCATCTGGGGAGGAATAATTGCATGCACCAGTACAGGTTGGGGGATGAGCTGCTGGAGGGGAGCTCTGCGTAGAGGGACCTGGGTGTCCTGGTGGATGACAGGTTGGCCATGAGCCAGCAGTGTGCCCTTGTGGCCAAGAGAGCCAATAGCATCCTGGGGTGCATTAAAAAGAGCGGGGCCAGCAGGTCGAGGGAGGTGATCCTCCCCCTCTACTCTGCCCTGGTGAGGCCTCATCTGGAGTACTGCATCCAGTTCTGGGCTCCCCAGTACAAAAAAGACAGGGATCTCTTGGAAAGAGTCCAGCGGAGGGCCACGAAGATGGTGAGGGGCCTGGAGCACCTCTCCTATGAGGAAAGGCTGAGTGAACTGGGTCTGTTCAGCTTTGAAAAAAGAAGACTGAGAGGGGACCTGATCCAGGTCTATAAATATCTAAGGTGTGGGGGCAGAATGGCAAGGCTGGACTCTTTTCAGTGGTGAATGGAGACAGGACAAGGGGAAACGGCCGGAAACTGCAGCATAGGAAGTTCCGCACCAATGTGTGCAAGAACTTCTTTACAGTGAGGTGATGGAGCACTGGAACAGGCTGCCCAGGGAGGTGGTGGAGTCTCCTTCTCTGGAGATGTTCAAGACCTGCCTGGATGCCTACCTGTGCGACCTGCTGTAGGGAACCTGCTTTGGCAGGGGGGTTGGACTCGATGATCTCTGGAGGTCCCTTCTAACTCCTACAATTCTGTGATTCTGTCAAAGGCATTACCATGTATATCCAATAAAATTATCAGTATTTATTTCAAGGTGGACTGGTCCTAACGGCAAGAGAATCCAGCAGAAAAATAAACACAAGGGAGGGAAGACCATTCAAGAGCCCAGCAGATTAGCCATGGACAGAGACAAAGGGAAGCAATAGAAACCAATATAGGACGAAATAGAAATAGTGTATTTCTGGAGCCCAAAGGAACCCAACAAAACGCCAGCATCACAGACGCACATCAGAATGCTTTTCTCAACAGGAAATCCCCTTTTCAAGAAGTTCCAAAACACTGAACAATGGAGAACTGGAAGGAATATGGAGAGACTTTTTGAAGATGAAGAACAGAAGCAACACAAGAAGAAACCTGGAACACCAGTAACTAGGCTTATTCTACAGGATTTTTATTCATTTCCAACACATTAAATGTAGATTCACAGACCAGTCTGGAAAGAAGCTTTTAGCTCATCTAGCTACAGCCACTCAACAAAGCCATGGAGCGTGACATCACCGGGCAACGGACTGTGACCTCGCAGGCCTCCGCTGCTCACAGTGGGCCGCAGCAGAGCCTGGCCCAGTCGAGCTCGTTCCTGGTGTCTGGCTGAGCGTGTTGGCGAGGTCCGGAGACCCAGTGAGAATTTCTTGGCTCGTGCTGTGGGGCTCTGGGAGCTGTTCTCAGTGCCCATCCCCACAACATCACCTGTATTCCCCCGGCCCTGCCTGCATCAGGCAGCCGGGTCCCGAGAAGCGCTCGAGGCAGCGGAGGTGAGAGGTGGGGGGGGACGCACACGTGGGGGGGCCGTGGGGCTCAGGAGCTGCTAGGGCCGCATCCGCAGCCCGACTCGGGGCCAGCAGGGAATGGGATGGGGAGGGCTTCCTGCCGAGGGACCGGGGCACAACCGCCGCCTGCCCCGGGACGCACACCGACCGCGGCCTCTTCTTCTTGCAGCGTTCAGGAACCACTGCAGGAGCGCCGCAAGGAGAGCGGATTGCCACCTGCAGCTCCCCGGCCCAGAACGCGGCCATGGAGGAGGAGTTCTGCGCCATCTGCCGCGACGCTACACCTGACGCCTGCGTGGTGCCCTGCGAGCACCGCTTCTGCCTCCGCTGCATCCTGCAGTGGACCTTGAGGAAGTTCACCTGCCCGCTCTGCAGGAGCCTCATGTGCACCATCCGCTTTGCGGTGCGGGCAGACGGCTCTCTGCCCTGCGTCATCACGCTGCCATCCGAGTACGAGGCGGAGAGCCACGACACGGCCGCCCTGTGGGACGTCGCCACCCCGCGCCCCGCTCCGTCGGGCAGCCCCGCGGGGCACGCGCAGGAGGAGCTCCCCGACGCGTCCCACGCGGCTCCCGGCGATGCGGCCGCCCGGCCCGCCGGCCCGCCCGGCTCCGGGGACGCGGAGGAGCCCCGGCAGGAGGCGGCGGCGGGACCTTCCGCCCAGGACAGAGGCGGTTACCCCGGCACCGGCACCGCCGAGCGGGGCAGGGACCGCTCAGCCCGGGGGTCCCGCCGCCCCAGCAAGAGGAGGGCCCGCAGCGCCCGCAGCACTTCGCAGCCCCGCAAGAGGCCGCCCCCCGGCCCCATTAGCGGGGCCGCATCCATCTCAATTAATAAAAAACGAGGAAAACACGCAGCTGTTGCGCAGACTGCCTCAGTCCCACTCGGAGCTCAGGGCGCCGCCAAGCATGGCGGGTGCCGTTCCTGGACGCGGGGCACGAGGGCTGCCGCTCAGCCGTCCCGAGAGTCGTTCCCTCGCGCCCTGCCGCTGTCACCACAGAGCCAGACTCGGCACCGCCCTCTGCTCCCTGGGAGGAGCCGCAGCCGCCACGAGGCTTCCCCTCGGCCTGCTCCGATCTGAGCCGAACAAACCCGGCGATCTGCAACGGTCCTTCGCCTTCCTGACCTTTCACAGCCCTCCTCTGGGCCCTTACTCGTGGTTTTGTTTTACACAGCGGTACCCAAAACCACATACAGCGATCGAGGTGAGGATGCACCAGCGCAGTAGAGTGGGACAACAGCACTGAAGGCATTCGCATTATTCCTGTCATTCCTTTCACTTGTTTCATCACAGCCTCTCCAGCACTTCTGTACATTTCCAAGAAGAAATTTACTAATGGAAACACAAACTCACAAAAATAAAGAAAAAAAAATCGTTCTGAACAGATTATGTGGAGTTACAACCTGCAATTGCAGAGGCTGAAGTCTGTGCAATATCAGCGACAGTTGCTCTCCTGCCTTCTATTCCTGTTCTTCACCTACAGCTCAGTAACAGTTTTTCAGTGAAGGCTTTGAAAACATGAACAGTGCTGGATATTTCAAGTGTGTAAATCAGTGCACAAACTGCTGTGAGTTCAAGCTGAAAAAAAAAAAAACCAACATCCGGAACTTCAAATAACACATAATTGCAAATACGAGTGCTAGGATTGTGATGGATTACACTGATTGTTTATCTCCTAAGTAGAATGACTTCAGGTTTACTGACACAGAAGCTTTCCACAATCTCTAAGTCTTCCACTGACATTTATCCAGAAGTGCCAGAAGACAATCAGGAATAGAACCAAAACAGAAATGATAACCATTGCTGGCGTCTCACACATACCAGCAGCTCACCCTCGCTCTGCAATAGTCAGCAAGCATCTCCACATATCTTGGAAAATCAGCACTGCCCTTAAATATGGGTAATATTGACAGGCTGACTTCCAAGCCCAAAATTTCACTTTAGTTCAGATCAGAAATAAACTTTCTCTTTATGTAACACTCAAAGGAACACAGCTTGGTAGCAGTTCCACAGAAAACACCATCATATGGCCTATCCAGCAACTCTTGGTTCGCACCAATTAGAAACAAAAACGCCGTGCCAGAAGCCCTATAGAAACAGTGGCACTCCATCAGTGGAATATGCCATCAGGTATTATTGAGCTCATAAACACTCCCACAGTTTCCGCGACAGAGTTTCAAGACAAAATTCCACACAGAGCAACACACCACAACAGTTTCGCCAAGCATGGAAAGAGTTCTTTTATGTCCTGCTTACAAAGGAGCCAAATAGGTTCTGACTGGGTCTTGGCAATACCAGGCAAAGCACTCCCAGGCAGTCTAATAGTCATAGACAGAAAGAAGCACTGCACTCACCCATCTGGTGATGGGGATCTCTGCCACACAGCATTTCCCCAGGAAGCAGCAAAGGTCCATCGGATGCTCTCCTCTCTGTGGCTGACCCTTATACGAGCCATGGGGGGCTATAACCTGGACCTCCCCCTTCATGTCACCTGGGAAGCACAGGTGCAAACCACCTGCCTCTGCTCCCTGGGCCAGTCACACTGCTTCACCAGCTGCTTGATCACCCCTTCCAGCTATCACCTAACACTTCACCTACATTGTATGACATGATTTTTGATCAATTACATAGTTAAATTCAAACACACAGGCAGTTTTCTGTTATAAATTCACAATAGCATTGAAAATCTAGGATCCCTTTTCTATTGGCACAGCACTATGAAGGCCAACCAAGAGGCACACCACTTCTGTTGAGTAAGCTATGAACTGCATTAACATCAGGAAAAATACTTTACAAGCATTTGGATAAAAATAACAGCTACAGAATAAAATTACCTTGACAAGTCAAATTCCAGTTCCAGCCTCAGTTGGAAATCTGTCCCATGTTCTCCTGTTTATTTCCAGCAAAAGGCCATCTCAAAGAACCTTCAAGCTATACAATTAATTAGAGTTCAATCCACCTGGCAATCCATTGGTTCTTAGTAAACTCTGATACAACCATACATGTTCTGGGACCAAGGAAGGCTCTTTCTGCAGGTCTCCAAACTTTCAGTGGCTCACACAGTACAATATGAAGACAAGACATTGAACTCAAGCCCTCTCAGGATACACAATTAACTAGGTACTGAAAGAAGCTCTAAAACATTTAGAAGAAAAAAAGCAGCAACATGACCAGCAGCAACATGACCAACATCGCTGCAGAGACACAAACAGGTGAATCACATAACTAATTAGAGTATCAGCAGTTCCCAAAGAAAAAAAAGTGGAGTAGTTGGATTAGGACTAAGCACAGACACTCTGAACAACCCTAGTAGATGGGAACAACGGCTGACTGTCCTGAGCAGGAATAAATGAAATCCAAAGAAATTATTTGGATCATTGACATTTCCCATCTAAAAAAATCAAACCAGAAATCTAGTCTATTCACAGCCTGATCAATTGAGTCATGTTGTAAAGAGTAAAGGAGAAAAAAGTCAAAATCAAACCAGTAAGATATTTCCTACTGGCACGTGATCCATGTCCACTGCATGTACAGAATAGCTACTAAAAAGCCCTCAGGATGAAAACACAAACACTGAGTACTAATGAGGAATTTTACAATCTGCCATTATTTAAATTTCAGTGTAGCATGCATGCCAATATGGGAAGAGGTAGAATGAAGGGTCAGCAACACCAGGAAACAACAATCTAATGGATAATAATTTGTATATGAAGCAAATATTATTTTAAAACATTTCCTCAAGTCAGTGACTGTTTAACTCTGCCCAGAGTCAGACTGCAGATCGGATAATTCTCCTTTGCTGCAACAGTAAACCACCGGATGGCATTGCCAGATATTTGCTTATCGTGACAACTGTGGCACGAACACCAGCAAGAATTAGGACAATGTAGAGATTCCCTAGTCTTTCTAATAACCATCATTCATTCTGTACTTTGAACTTGTGTTGAAACACTATTCATCTATTTTATAAGGTGCTGGAGAGGCCTAAAAATGGAATTTGCCTTATTTGTGCCACATGCCAGAGCACTATTTGATCAGGGACAATGTCCTACATCAGCTCAATTGCCTCCTGTCTACACTGAGGTTGGTAATTAAGCCTAGCAGGCCTTTTTGTTCTGATGGATAGTAATATTAATAATCTGTTTTGTTTCTGTCTTCACCCCTGTGTTGGGACATAGTTTATTTTCTTCATAGTAGCTCGTTTAATGCTATGCTTTGGACAAGCAATGAAAATAGTTCTGGTAACACACCAATGTTTAAGTTGTTGATATCTTCACCCAAATACCTTACTCTTTCAAAATATTCTCTTCCTGCTCTATTGTGTTTGTCCCTTCAGCTTTTACCAACTTTTATTTATTTGCTGAGGAATCCTTTTCACAATGTGAATTACTTTCCCCTATCTAGGCATGCTATCAGTATGTACTCACAGAACTGAAAGCCTAACTAAGACTGAAAATTCTGCTTCCTCTTCTTCCCAAAGCAAGATTTCAGTGTGATTCTTTAGAAGAATCAGAAGATTTTTTTTCCATTTATAATTCCATTTTCTCTTTATACTCAGAAATATATTTTTAAGAAAAATATTGTTTCCACTGCAACTTATTTTCTACCGTTTTGAAATAATACTGATCTATAATGCAACAGAAAATGAAGCTTAAAATGAATAGCGTGTCTAAATGAAACACTGAAACACTTAATCTTCATTTTTTTTCATATCAGTGGGAATGCGTTTTTGCTTTACTTTTTGCCCAGAGTGAAATGTCAGTGAAAGTGACTTTTTAAACCAGCTCTAATTGTAACTCACTACATGGCACTTGCATTTAAAGCGTCTTGAAATTTCTGAAAGCTCCTATGGGGAAGTTTTATACACTTTGTTTGGTGCAGTCATCAAAATTGCATGAAATCATTCATCAAAGAGGAGAAAGAAAACAACAACAACAACAAAAACCACCAAGGAAGTGAAAACAGATCCATGATGTTTAGTAACTTTAGTCAACTCCGCTGACTAATAAAGACACGAGCAGGGCATATGGAACTTCTTTCCCTCGGGTTCCTGTTTATTGATGGGACAAAATATAGGAGCCCTGCAGCAAAATTATCCTGACTTAAATGATCTCAATCTGTTCTCTATTGATTTTTCTTACATAGCAGTAAGTTTTGATTAACTTTAGTAATAGCAGTGACTGCTTCAGAATGTCTTGAATTGATCAGACATAAGGATTTCCTATTAAGCAGAAATTAAAGACATATTTCTTCCAGTATCACAATTAAGAAGTGCCTCCTTCTTTGCAAAGGTATAAATGGAAAAAACTCAATGCTCCACTACCCATTTTGTTGACTTGGAAGGTCATTAGGACATGTGTTCCAAATGGGTGATCTAAACACAGTGGTCATTTTGTCTGTGTCAACATATTCACAGCAGTGTCCTTCATAGGTTGCATGGCTCATCTTGTTACAGGTACCAGAAGTTACCACACTTGTACGAAGTGGAAACTACAAAAAACTCTAACAAGAACCCAACACAACAAACCAAAGAATCAAACTAGAAACATACAGGGAAGGCTTTGGGAATAAAAGGTACCACAGGTACCTAATGCTTCAGTGCTGCATTATTGTGTCAAATAAGCATCTTCAAAAAGCATTCTGTCAGTCTGATATGCATCAAACTATCTAATTGGAAATATTTTACCTCCTTGGAATTGTAGATTTTTACAGATGCTGCAAATCTGCACTTTTTCTGGAGAAAATAGGGAGTTTTAACATTTAGTTTACTTGGGCTTCGTGGCTGCATTTGTTTCATTCTGGCCTTTAAAAATCCCCAGAAAAATGTAATATAGTCTTTGTGAAAGCAGTGCAAAGAGATACCAAACAGCTTGCAAAATCGAACTTCTTAATGCTGATAATAAAGAATCTGTTTGGTTAAGCATGGAAGAGATGAGAACACAATTTCTTCTTCCCTGTCTCCAAGAATCCTCCTAATAACTTCCACTACTTCTCTCTAAAATCAGATACGAAGACCAGTGCACACAGAGAACAACTTCAGTACTAACATTGCCTTAGGTTCCAGCTAAAGGCCAGAGTGATAAGATCCCTCTTACATGAGTGATCATGGTTGTTTCCCATTTTAAACCTCTATGACTGAAGAAACAAAATTCATCCTGTCTTGCAAATTCTCAGAATAGTTAACAAAAAAAACTAAACAATTAAAACAACAACAACACCACCACCACAATAACTTCTTCCTGTTTTTTCGTTCTGTAGGTGCTTGCTGCTCTTACCTATATTTATTCTCATATTTTTTCTCTACGATGAATAGCAAAAGCGGAAGCAAAAGGTACTCCTGGGGCAGGACACAACACTTGAAAAAATAAAAAAATAAAAAAATTATGCACAACACCCATTTAGATGTGTGATTATATAGAAGTTCATTTGTACCACAGGAGATCCTGTAGCTTACAGTTTTTGCATCGCAGAAGATACTTACTCTTGCTCTCCCCATATTTTATTATGGAAGGTTTATCATCACTATTAAACTTTAATTCCCCCAAAGCAGTGCATTAATAGATTCATAAACTTTAACACCTTCAGCTTTGTGCCACCTTCACTATATATTGAACACAATTGTTAAGGAGCAGTTCCATACTTTTCTGCACATCTTTTTAATAACGAGGAGATTTCAAAATATTTCAAAAGCACAGTCATTTTGATACCTATATTTTCCCTAATTTTAAATGTCTGTCATGTTGAAAATTGAGTTTTACGGCTTTAAACGTAAAAACAAAGAACGCAGACCCCCTTGCTCTCACAGTTCATTCTTCTCAAACTATTTTTCTAATCATACATGGAACTTCTAATGTACTCGTTATTTACTGCTTTCCCCCGAAGCCTGCTTTCAAGTTCACAAATAATTATTTGTTTTTATGCTTTTTCATGATTTAAAAGTCATCTTAATGATGGGAGACATTTGCCATTAAGGACCGTTCCACTATTGCGCATGCTGTAAATACTTCTAAGAGGCAGGTACTTGTTATAAGAATCCCCTACACTTCTTGTTCATGCTAAGGCATTGGGAAGAGGAAATAAGATGTCTTATCAAGAAGCTAATTAACATGATGGCACATAGTTAAGGAAGGAGACTTTAAAAAAATAGGAAAAGGAAATTAATTTACTGAAGCTTGTTGAAAGAAAAGAGATGAAGACAGAAGAGTAAGATAGAAAGGGGAATAAGGAGCCTGCTTCCACTAGAAAATCAATTCAAGAGCTAATATTGCAGAAGAACTAAATGCAGGCTTCATCTGTGACATGGACTCCCAATATATGCAATATTTAGGTACTTCACAGTGGGAACACTGATTGGCCCTGAAGGCTTTTTCACGTTACGTCATCATAGGCAGGGAATTGCCTGCTCTTGTGTAGATGTGAATCAAATATCATTATCAACAGGGTAGAACAACACAAAAGGACTTTTTTTTTTTTCACATGCTGGACAAAGTGGTTTAGAATCACTTAGGTCTCTGGTGGGATTTTGGTATCTTTAAGCAAATCCCTCGACAATCTTAACATTAAAGCATATCACCATAGGCAAAACCTGGAGAACTGGATCCAGGTCTTCCTCTCTTTGCAGATCAGTCTAGATGTGGCAATGCAGAGAGTTGACGCAGTCATCCTGCTGTGCAGATAAACATGGTCATAAACAAAAGGCCAAACCAACCAACCAAACTTCTTGAATGCAAAAGCAAAACCCATTGATACAAAGGTTTAACCAAATGCACAGGGTACCTTAGCAGCAATTCCCATGCATTCAGATGTATGAAAAGCAAGCAAGTTCTTGTTTTTACAGAAGTGAGTGAGCAGTTTTGAAGTTCAAGGCTGTAACACATGCAATAGCACATACTACACATGCCACTCCTACTACTTACTTAGAAAATAAAACAAAGGGGAATGAATAAGACAACTGTTTAGAATTGTGTTTTGCATTACAGGTGAGCTGCCATGAAAGCAAGCAGCAGCATTTATAACGGGGGGAATAGATTCTCCCAAAAGAAAAATCAGCGTTAGAAATCATGTCAGAATTACTACTGGTCTTTCCTTCTACAGAAGCAAGCAGGGGGAAATCAGAGATTATCAGGAGAGCTTCCAAACTTGCTTTTATCATTTGCTATAGACACAGACTACAAGTAACAGACTGTTTATAAGTAAAGCATTAATTTGGTGTATGATGTATGAAATTTGGCTCCTGCTGCCTAGAATTGGTTCAATCCTCAACAACAGCTGGCTGACACTGAGAGAAAAAAACATATCTGGGATAGCAGCAGAGAGGGGTTGAATTAATTTTCAAAATCTCTGCATTTTATTTAGCTTCTGCTGCCATCTACAGAAGCCATCGCCGATCTGCACCAAGGGCAGGTACAGCAGTGAGAACAAGATAAACCTTCAGCCCAGTGACAAGCTGAGCTAGAAAGAACAGGGGTACTTCAGCTAACAGTCACTGAAGGACCTGAGGAGCTCACTTTGTAGATAGCATCTCTCTCTCAGTTAGGGCCCAAAAATTCATTCACAGCTACCTCTCTGCTGTGTAAATGAGTTCACTCATCTGCATAGCACACAGATAAAAGCTCAGACCTCATCAGTCTGTATAGATCAACACAGCAGTGGAGCTGCCTGTGAAGTGATGAAAGTTTTAATTTCTCTTGGTCACATTGGTACGTGGGTAACCAGTACCTTGATTCAGTTTCTAATTTCTCCACTTGGTCGTTTTGTGAACAGATGAGCACTACACAGGATTTATTTTGAATCTTGTCCTCAACAGCCTTTTGTCATCTAAATGACAAATCACAGAAATATTTTCCATTTACATTTGTAATGACACCCTTTGTGAAATATTTTCTCATCAGCTTATGATATAACCAAGATGTGAGTAGCATTCCCCTTATTTTTACATCGTATCAGCCTTGAGGACATAAAACCTCTGGCTGAAATGGACCACAGTGGGCACTGGAAGATGGGAAATCCTTGGGATTTCTGCACCAAATAACACTGTCCTCAGCACAGCCCAAGGCAGCTGCCTTCCAGATACCATTGGAAGATAAAGCAGAGAACAAACCTCCTTCCTGCCAGCCCACAGGTTGTGCAAAGCCTACAGCCGTACCTCACTGTGGGAAGCACTGGGGAACTTTCCAGGTGCTTGAAAGCATCTGGATTTACCCAGGTTGAGCCTGTACAGCTGTATAAACTATAGAGAAATATCCAATTAATCCCATCTCCTCCTCCTCACGTGAGATTTAATGCATATAATCATAAAGTGAAACAGTGCTGTGCTGTCTAGGTGAGTGGTTGCAGGGACCTGTAAAGAAATGCTGGCACCCAATTACCTGCCCCTCCCTTGACTACACCCCACAAATCGTGCACGTGTGTCTTCAGCATGGGCTCAGGCAGGCAGGGAAGCAGTGTCTGCAATAGTCCCCAGTTCACCATGTCTGGGGCAGGCACGGCTCTCCATTCGGAAAGGGAAAATTCTGTGCTGCACACCTGGGTGTGAATATGGGAAAAGGCAACAGGCACGAGCAAAATGCCACTAAAACTCATCTGCTTCGTCCTCTGCATTCTGATTGCACCAGATCTCACAGGTAAACCTCTGAAAAAGCTTCAGTTAACAGAAGCCAAATGACCAAGGGTTGTGAGGAACTAACAGTCTTTCGTCCTTTTGTTAAACCTGTCTGTGCAAAGCAACGCAGCATGCAGTCAGGTGATCCTGAATGTTAATTACTAGAAGAAGTAAAAGAAAAAGACAATCCATATATTTTGCATTCTACAAGGCGATTCTGTAATGTAAGGGGAAGTTTCACTCTGAAGGAAATTGACATGTTAATACTGTACTTGCCTCTGCTTTTTGCTGTTCTGTGAGAAGCTGTACTTGCAAGTCCTCTTTAACTGCTATTATCTATTGTATCTATATATAACACAATGCCTGTAGTGTGAACGCAGGGTCAGGGAGTTAGAAAGTTTTAATTACTGGCTCAATTATGTTCACTGAGAATCTCCTTTGCCCTGGAAGATGGTTGTGCATTTTTCAATTTGCTTCTCCAAGTAGATGCTTGTCTCCAAGCACATCACCTGTATATGCCTGGTCTCCTGATCACACTTCAGTGCTCTTGCAATGGTCAGTCCTCCAGAAAGGAAGCACAGCTGATGCAGGTGTGCATAGATTTTGCTCAGTGCTGTCTTTGAAAACTTCCTTCTTTGCTCCTGAATTCAATTTCTCTGCCAGAAGAAGTAATTTTACAGCTTGCTCAACCAGCAGAACACTTTGGATCATTAGTTATAAATCTTAGTTTCTTAACATGGAAAAACACTACCTCAGCTCCACGTGGTGTGTTCTCTGCAATTTTATTCTGTGGAATAAGGAGGATTGTGACAAACATATATATTTTTAAAAGCTGACAAAGCTGAGCAACTATTCTTCAAAAAATCCATTTTAATTTTTACTGCTCTTTTTTGCGTCTGTAGTGTCAGCCAGCCATGCCCAGGCTGGTACCCATGTGCACACTGTGAGAGGCAGTGAGGGGGAAAGGTAGAA